AGGACATGTCTTGCTGGCTGCTCTTGCCTCTCAAAGGGGCTTAGGTGTGCTGCCTCCTCCACCGCAACTCGGACTCTTCTGGCTCCCACCTGAGAGGACCCTGCTAGCTTCCTAGGGTTGGCCGGCCCTGCTCAACGGGGCTTGCTGGATTCTAGTCAGGTAGCCAGTCAGAAAGGGAAAAGTGGCACTTGCTAGGATCTGATGTTTAAAGTCCTGTCACGTTCTCCCAGGGTGTCCATCACAGGGTGGGCTGCACGTGAGCAGGGTGTCCCAGGAACCGAGCAGCCTCCACTTCCCACTTTGGTGGAACTGCATGGACGTGTGTCTTCAGCAGGCATGTTGTGACTCAGGATGCTGCTGCTCACAGGAACATGGATGAGGAGCACCCACTGTGCCATCACTTGACACTGAAGTTTCGTTATAATGACTGTCCCCGGCAATCAGAAAATGACCACAGGCGACAGCTTCAGATTATGGTTCATTAATCAATAATCAGAAAATTGAGTAGGTGAAGGCCACAGCTAGTGGGAATAGGGTCACGGCAGAGAAGAGACACTAACCTGCAGGGAGGGCAGGTCTGAACAGCAGCAGAGCTGGAACGTTCTTGCCCTGGCTTCCGGTGAGTCACTTCTTGGAGGGCTACAGCCAGATGTGTTTGCGTCGTGTCAGAAATGCCCAACAGCTCAGCCAGTGAGCCCCCTGGGCTCCCGACGAGTGGAGCATGCCCTTCTGCGCTAGGCAGCCCTTCCTGCCGCCCCCCACTGTCCAGAGACCCAGGCTTCCTCCTGGTTGGTCTGCCTGGGCCTCTGCACAATTGGTGGGGAGAACATGTCAATGCAGGAGGGTGGGGTAGGCTTGGCCAGAGGCCCCAGTGGGGGACGGCCTGTGAACACCTGCAGCTGGGCACAGATGCATGCACCTCGCTGCTGGCTAGCCTCCAGCCCAGCAGCAATGGGAAGGGGCCGTGTCACCTCATGGTCAGGGTCTCTCTAAGGGCCTTGCCTCTCCTGCTGGCCAATGGTCTGAAGGGTGGTCCTGGCCTAGGTCACGATTCGTTTCCTCCCTTGCCTCTCAAATAGTTGAAAGAGGACAGTTCTTTTTTAAAAATATTAAAAAAATTTTATGTTTATGAGTGTATTGCCTACATTTATGTAATAAGTACACCCATGTTGTACAATACCTGTGGAAACCAGAGAGAGCATCAGATCCCCTGGAACTGGAGTTATATAGATACAGATGGCTGTTAGCTGCCATGTGGGTGCAGGAAATGGAACCTGAGCCTGCTGCAGGTGCAACCAGTGCTCTTGACTGCGGAGCCACCTACCTCTCCAGCCCAAGAGAGGATAGTTTTGATGCTAGAAGGCCGCTTTAAAAACATTTTCGGGGCTGGAGAGTTAGGAGCATTGGCTGCTCTTACAGAGGATCCGCATTGGGTTCCCCATACCCATGAGGTGGCTCCGTAGCTCCAGGGGGATCTGACACCCTCTTCTGGCCTCCACAGGATTTACACATATTGGTACACTTAAATAGACGCAGGCAAAACACGTGCATAAAATTTTTAAAAATTTTCAAAATATATTTTATTTTTCATATGCACTTTGCAGAAGTCTCAAGGTAAATAATTAGCTTCACATTCATAAACAGCAGTGTTCTTTAAGAACTGGCTTTGAATTCATCTCAACAGTAAGATTTTGGTAATGGAAAAGAAGCTTGGGCATTATCAAACCAATATGCCTAGGAGTCTCCTTCTGCAGCCTGGCCCCTTGCTGACCCGCAAAGACATCACATGCAGCAGCAGCAGCACCAGCTCAGGGCTCCAGGAACCTTCCACAGGAGGTGGCTGTCTTGTGCTGGTGACTTTTATGAGTCAATTTTGAGTTCAACTAAAAATCTGTCCTCTTTGAGATACATTTTACAGAAATCTTAAAACTAATCGTTAGCCTGCTGACAGCACTGAATGTGTGGAGAGCTGTCTACACTTCTGCGTCATCCTCATCCTCGTCGTCTTTGGCTCTAAAATGCATTTTTCTGAATTCTCTTCTGCTCATCGAAGGACAAGATAAGGAGACTGGCGGCAGGTCCTTAGAGGGGAGAGAACAGGGGCTTCAGTGTTGCCATCGCATGAGCACCTGAATCCGTAATTCGCCACCGCCTGCTCTGCGTTCTTGCGGAGCGGGCCTCCCTTCTAGACCTGGACATGACTGTCAGGGCACTGTCCCTTGGTGAGAAAGATACTGGACTCAAAACAAGAGGCAGCAACAGAAATGTGGCTGGATGGTCACCAACGCACAGGTCTGACCGTCTACCCAGCCGCTCCTAGAGGGCTCCAGGCAGGGCCCACCTTCCACGGGCAAGTATCTTCTCTCTCTCTCCTCTTGGGTTAAGAGGATCACTTTATGTTACCTTCCTGCTGAGGCTTTGCTTGTGCACAGTAATCTGGGGGTTCATGGTGGGAAGTGCGTTTGCTGCCCGCATACTGGGAGAGGAAGAGGCAACGCTTACCTGCATGAGCTCAACATTTCCAAAGAAGCGGCTCACAGGCATGGGCTGGTTGCTGTCATCGTCTAGGAAGATGCTGTTGTCCATCTGCAGCTGGGGCACCCGAGCATCCTCTGCCCCGGGCACAGGCTCCTTCTGCCTGGTGGAGTTGCTGTTAAGCCCCTGGGCTGCCGCAGCGGCATTGGGTTCCAGAGTAGACAGGCCATCTTCAGTCTTTGCTGAGGGATCTATACTCACTTGGGAGCAACGGTGGGGAAGAGCCCCACTCTCATGCTGGGCAGGGACCGCAGACTCACCACTAGGCACATCTGCAAACTCATTTTCACAAGGGGCTGTGGGGGTCACTTTTGGCAAAGAAGCAGTGTCACTTTGAGGGACAAGTTTCTGTGGCTCTGCCTTTGCAAGGTGGCCTTTGTCATGCTTGAACTTCTTGGAAGTTCGTCTGTCTGAGGTCTCGTGTGATGAGGAAGTCTGCCAGGAGAGAAAAATGTTATGGGAAAACCAGACCCATTCAGCAAAGGCACAGGGTTCAATCCCTGAGGCTCCGTTCTTCCACCTGAGACTTGTAAACACTGAAACTGCAACAGCATCCTCTGCTCTGCCACCAATGGACAGAACCCAACACGGGCTGAACTCGTGCGTGACGTGAGCCACAGAGCCACGTGAGCCACAGAGCCAGCATCACTTCTCCAAGTTTTTTCCCAGGGGTGTCATTTCCTGAAGCGCATGGTTGCTTCCTTTTAAAATCATAGTAGGGGCCAGAGAGATGGCTCAGAGAGTAAAGGCACCTGCTGCCAAGCTTGCCTACCAGGGTTTGGTCCCAGAGCCCACAGGGCAGGGAAAACCATATGGCAAGCTGTCCTCCGACTGCCAAACAAGTGCACGGCACGCATGGTCCCCAAAAGATGCAATAAAAAAATCATAGTAAACGAACCCAGTTTCCTCTCTCCAGAATGTGACCCCCATCCCAAAGGCACAGACCTGTGTTTCATTCAGCAAACACTGCCTGGCACATCGCAGGGCCAGCAGATATTCAAGCTGACTTCAGCAGCAGCAGCAGCAGCAGACTGAATCCTCAGTAAAGCATGTGCTCGGCCTGGTATGGAGCCTCAGGGAAGCAGACCCTCCCACCTCCTGCCATCTAAGGGTGAGAGGACTTGACTGACGGGCACCGTGAAGCACGGCAGCCTTATGCATCCTTTCCTGGTCACCTGACCTTCTTAAGGTCTAGGGGCAAAGCAACCCTGGACAGGCCTCCTTCAAAGTGGCACAATCACAAGGGTGTGTGGTAGGACCCAGGTCACGCATTTCCATGCATGTGTACTCATACAGTGGACAAATGACAGGAAAGTGGCTCCTGAACTGCAGAGAGCACCCTCCACTGCAGAGATCACCCTCCACTGCAGAGATCACCCTCCACTGCATCACTCACCCTCCACTGCAGAGAGCACCCTCCACTGCAGAGCACCCTCCACTGCAGAGATCACCCTCCACTGCAGATCACCCTCCACTGCAGAGCACGAGCACCCTCCACTGCAGATCACCGTCCACTGCAGATCACCCTCCACTGCAGATCACCCTCCACTGCAGAGCACCCTCCACTGCAGAGCACCCTCCACGGCAGAGCACCCTCCACTGCAGAGAGCACCCTCCACTGCAGAGCGCACCCTGCTCTGAATGCATGATGCCGGTCACATTCCACACGTACTCTGAAATGTCCTCCAGCACACATGCAGTGTCAGCGTCTTGTGTTTCATACGACACACCATAGAGTGCCAACTATGAAGAAGTGGATGCAAGCCAAGATCTTTGGGTGCTCCTTGATAACGGGGCTTACCAGACATGCTGTCTTGGCAGACGTGGAGCTGGTGACGTCCTGGGCAGGGGCCAAGCCGGCTGTAGAGCAACTTCGGGCCCGTAGTCGCGCTGAGGATCGCACTCCACCTGTGAGCTAGACCAGACCGAAGCTGAGAACACGCGGCATGAGGCTGCGGTTTCCGCTGCTGAGCCTGAAGCCATAACCGCCCCCACGTCCCCCTCACCTGCCAGGAGAGAGGGCTCTGGCCTGAACACATCCATTCCATACAAATGTCTGAGTTTAGACACAGGGTTAAGGGCCAGAGAGATGGCTTAGTGGAAAGGTGATTGCCGCGAGGACAGAGGATGCGAGTTTGATCCCTGGGAACCACCCAGTGTAAGGAGAGAGATGACTTCTTCAAGTCATCCTCTCTGACCTCCACATGTGCTGTGGACGCCCCAGTGCACACACACAGATGAACAAATGTAATAGAAATAAGAGGTCGGCTGCCTGCTTGTGGAGGCTTGGGGCCATCCGTCCCCCATCGTCTATGTTTCTGGGAACACCTGTAGTTAGTGGACATGAACTCAAGTCAAAGTGCCAAGATAATCAGCAGACAGGCTTCCTTATAAGGCTCTCAAAGCCCCTGACAAAGGGTAACAGGAAACAGACAGTGGCCCCTGTGTTCACCCTGAGCCCTAAGACAGTCCCAGTTCTGTAGCACCAAGCAGGTGGCTTCTGCCTCCTAACTCTTTTATTGGGGGGGGGGCCGCTGGTGTAGAACTCATGGCCTCTTGCATGCTAGGCACGTGCTCCACCCCTACGGTGCTGCAGCCCCTCCCGGCCCCCTTTTTTGGGCAGGTCTTAAGTATCCCAGGCTGGCCTCAAACTTGCTGTATAGCCATTGATGACAGTGAATGCAGGATCCTCCTGCCTCTAATTTCCCAAATGCTGGGATTATGGATGTGCACCACCAATCCTGACTCCTGTGGCTCGGGGAGGTGGGGGGAATGAACCCAGGTCTAAAAAAAAAAACCAAAAACAAAAATCTGGGGCTGGAGAGAAGGCTCAGCGGTTAAGAGCTGGCTGCTCCTGCAGAGGACCCAGATTCGGTTCCTAGCACCTCACATGGCCGCTAACAACCATCCATAATGCCATAATGCCAGTTCCAGGGGATCCGACGCCCTCTTCTGACCTCGTGGGACACTGCACGACACGGGTGCACTTACACGCATACAGGCAACAAATACATTCATACGCATAAAATATTTTTCTAAAAAAGGAATTGTATATAATCATGTGCAAAGGCCACGGATATTTAGGAAGAACAAAGGGTGTGGGAGCTGAGGCCTGCTGGCCGCGGAAGACGGTGAATGACAAAAACCAAGAAATGGTCAACCAGAAAATATCCACTTAGACCGAAGGGGAAGAGCACTACGCAAACTGGGGACAGTGGGTTAAGCGTCCACACCAAACGTCAATGCGCTAAACAACCAGGGCGAGGTGGATTCCGAACGGCATCAGCAACAGGGGCTGGAAGTCCCAATGCCAGTGGCCACCGCGCCAGGTCAATGTCCAGATTCAGGCACCCAGCACCCTGCCTCGGTCCTCCACTGCTGGCACTGCACTCAGCACCCAGCACCCTCCAGCCACCCTGCGGTCCAGCACCCAGTCGCCCAGCACCTCCGGCCGGCGCCCGGTTCTTCACAGCCTGGCTGAGGTCACTGATGCACCGGGCCCACGTGACAGCCGACTGCCGGGTCTGACCGCCCGGCTCCGGGACTGACCCCAGAGCCGCAGAGGCCCCTCCGGAGCCGCGCGGGACCGAGCCTGGGTCTTCACGGGGGCGTTGCTGAACTCCGCTCCCGGGCAGGCGGGGCCCTCCGTGTCCCGACCTCCCTCTCCGGCCCTCTGCCCTCCCCTGCAGCCCTCACCTTCCTTCTCTTCATGGGGGTCAGCGCCCGGCCTAACGCCTCTCAGCTGAGACTCAACCGCAAGGCCCCAGCCCGCGGCGCCGCTGCGTCTGACGTCACCACGGGATGGCCAATCACAGGCCCGCGTCTGCAGACACGCGCCGACGAGGTTGGTTATAGTTGAGTGCGGACTGGAGGCGCCTCCGGAACTTCGGTCTGAAGGCGGAGTGCGAGGGCCGGAAGCCGGGCGACCTGCCCTCCCATGTTTGAAGGGTGCTTTCCTTGAAGCCTCCGTGGCCGCCATGTTTGAGAAAGGCATCTGGGTGGCCGCCATGTTTGAGAAGGGCGTTTCTCTTGGCGCCTCATTGGCCGCCATCTTTGAGAAGGGCAGCCACCCTTGATGCCTTTGTGGCCACGGTATTTGAGAGGGCCGGCGGCCTTCCTGGGGACCGGGTCTTGGGGCAGTGCTGGTGTAGTCTGTTCCGCCCTTGTCGGTCGGGTGTCGCATCTCCGCTATTGTTCCCTGTTGGAAACCGAAGCCCCTGACGGAGCCCGGCCTTCCCAGCCAGAGGAACCCTACTGTGTGCTTAAGAGTTCCCCGCCCTCACCGGGTGCGGGGCGGGGGGATGGGGGGTGTGTGTAGGTGTGAGGCTGTCCCCACCCATCAAAACGCTAGGAATGCCCGCAGGTGCGTCTGGGGCCTAAAGCGGAGACAGAGATCTCTTCATTTATGACTTTCTTTTGTTACTATAAAAACTTCATGAAATTGTTACCAGGTTGGGACATGGAAATTAGGGTGACTTAAATCTGAGTTCCTGGCCATGGTCACTGGTATTTGGCTCAGGAATAAACTATCTTTTATCCCCTTTGGGGTCAGAGTTGAGAGAACCATTCCTACAAGTGGTCCTCTGCCCGCACCTGCTTCGTCTCTGTCTCTGTCCACACACACACACACACACACACACACACACACACACGAATAAAATTAATTTAAAAAGGGGGCAGGGGTTCAAGTACAGGTGAAGTCCTTGGCTTCAGCCCCACTCTGCAATCCCAGGGCTGACGGCCCCATCAGGCTGGTGCTTCCAAAATGAACCAGATTGTCAAGACTCCAAGGCCCCTGTGGGGGCTGAGGTGTGATCCGAGTCCCCTCAAGTCTCAGAAGCATTTATGATGTCCTGTACTCTCCCTGGGGTGACCTCCAAGTCTCCGCAGTGCACACAACATGCAATCGTGTGAAGAGCTTCCAGAAATGCCCATTAGATAATTTATGGATGGGCCCCTGAAAGCCGGCTGCTAGGTGGAGTAGTCTTTGGGCCCAAGCAGAGCACGCAGCCTCAGGGTGCCAGTGCCTGGGACTCACCCACCTGGCAGTCCGTTCTTTATCCCCGGCTCCAAGCTCCCCACGCTGTCTTGCATGATGTACATGGAAGGGAAACTGACAGATGTGTGACTGGCGGGGAATCCATCGAAAGGAAATGAATATAATCACAGCAGCTGTTAAAATCCAGAGAGCTGCTATGGCAAACCGAGCCCAGTGAGTTCTCACCGGGGGTTGATCCTAGCTTGGCTCAGTGACCTTTCTTCTGATGCCGCATCAGCAGAAGCTAGTTTCTGGTTCTAGAGGGGCTGGCCGTGAGTGTTAATATAAAAATGTACGGCTTCAAGGTTAACACCCTCTTGCAGTCAGCTTTCTCCTGCTGTGGTAAAACACTGAGCAAAACCAAACTGGGGAGGAAAGGGTTTATTTGGCTTATGGGCTACAAGCTGTCATGGAAGGAAGTTGAGACAGGAATTGAAGCAGAGACCATGGAGGAACACTGCTCACTGGCTTGCTTCCTCCCCTGGTTGCTCAGCTACCTTTAGTCTGGAGACAGAGTCTCCCTGTAGCCCCAGCTGGACTGGAACTCCCTTTGTAGACCAGGCTGGCCTCGAACTCACAGAGCTCTGCCTGTCTTCTGACTCCTGAGATTAAAAGAGTGTGCCACCACACCCAGCTCAGCTGCTTTTCTTTTCTTTTTTTCTTTTTACAATGCTATATTCATTATTCCTGTTTCTTTCTTTTTTAACTTTTACAAAAACTTTATTGAGAATTTCATACATGCATATAAGGTGTTTTGATCATTCTTAACAACAATAAATCCAGCTATTTTCTCATTCCCGTGGTCACTTTCTCTTCCTGAGTCCTTGGGAGTTCTGGTCTTTGGTCCATCCTACCATCTGGGAGATGGAAGGCCAGGTGTGCGGCTAATGTCTGCACATGTCCTTCTCTAACATAGCCATCAGCTCTTCACTGCTTCAGTGTTTGTGTGATACTTTTAAAAATTCTGAAACTTTGATATGACACAACAGAGAAAGATGATCAACTCTAATCCACCCACTATAACTGGGAGGATAATTGTGTATTTAAGTAAAAACATGAACTTTTCTGTACTGTATCTTGTGACACATGCTCCTTGAATAATGACCAACTATGAAAGGAAAAAAATGATGCAACGACAAAGGTGTATTCAGTTAAAACCTTTCGTCATCTGAGATGGTGGCAGGGACATTTCCAGAAATGGAGTGACAAACGAGTGGTGGGTTCTAGTCTCTACATAGTCAGGTGAGGGTCCAGTGACCCTGCTTGGCACTCCTTCAATGAATGAGCACAACTGTCAACAAGCCCAATTGTGACTATGTTTAGCGGTCAGTCTCAGCCGAAGTCATGATGATGGTAGTTATTTCATGCAGAAGGGACTGCTGTATAGCATCATCTTATTAAAAGGACCTGGAATTTAAAAGGATTTGGTGCTAGGATCCACATATGAGGGAGAACATACGTCGTTTTTTTTTCTGAGTCTGTGTTACTTCACTTAGTATAACAGTTTCTAGATCCATCCATTTACCTGCAAATTTCATTATTTCTTCTTTCTTTACTGCTGAATAGAACTCCATCGTATAAATGAACCACATTTTCATTATCCACTCGTCAGTTGAGGGACACTTAGTTTGCTTCCATCTCTTAGCTATTGTGAAAAGAGCAGCAACAAACATGGTTGTATAAGTGCCTCTACAATAGGATGAGTCCTTTGGGTATATGCCAAGGAGTGGTATAAACCCAGTCATATGGTAGGTTCATTTGTAGTTTTTTAAGAGTTCTCCACACTGCTTTCCATAGGAGTTGAACCAGTTTGCAATCCCACCAGCAATGGATGAGC